TTAATCGCAATATATTATATTGGGATTAAAAATAAATCTTTTATGATTAAATAGATTTTCATAAATATTATAATTTTGGAACCAAATAATTAATATTATTTCTGATAAATTCACGAATTTCCAAAGTTGTTTCTACATGAATTGAACATGGATGTAGCATTAAATGAGAGTATTCAATTTTGATAATATTTAAAGATTCCAGAATTTCAATTTTAATAATGCCTTCACAATTATACCATTCAATTCGTATAGAAGTATCTCTATGAACTTCTGGATTTAGATGTTTTATTTGATACTTCGCCCGATTAATACGGCAATTACAATGATAGGTAACCATTAATGAATTTTTTTTTTGATTCTTGTCTTTATAAATCTACCTATAACCATCTCCATTTTCAATAAATTTTGCTGTATGACGAGCAACTTCAAGGTAAAGTTTTTCATTATTATTAAAATTTTCTTTATCCTCATCTAATATTGTAATAATAAGAGAGGACAACTCAACATCAAAACTAATCACCAATTCGACATTATCATTTTCATAAAAGTTATTAGCATTTTTCAAGGAAATTAAAGAGTTATACACAAATTCATCAATGTCTGAGTAAGTAATTATAGCTTCATGCCTTTGGTTGTTATTTTTAATCAGTCAAGAGGTAGTTCGTTTATCTCTACATGATTGACACCAAACTAAGGCTTTATTATTTTTAAGAAATTTAGTAATTTCTTTGAGTATATGACAATTATCGCATGTTTTATGAGATGGAAAATCAATACTTTTACTGGTCATTATCAACTGTTAAAAAAGTTACTAGCAAGTCGACAAAAAATTTTGAGTAAAAAAAAAAAAAATTCTCATATTTATTCGATTCTGAAACATCGGAGATTTAAATTTTGATCATGTTATATTGCAAGGTATGTTCATCAGATTTATTACATCATATGCTTTATCATTATAATTTATTAAATCAATTAGTCAATAAGCACTCCTGGCTTTAGATAGCTCTTTTCAAATAAATGTAAAATAAGAAAATAATGCACATTTCATGGTAATTGTACTAAAATATTGAAGTTTTATGAATTGAATTATTAAATAAATAAAAGCCGGGTGGCAAATATAAATACCACAAGGCTTTAGTACATCTCACTATAAGTCTCTTGAAATGATAAAATTTGAATTTTATTGTTATTGTCTCATTTATTAAAATCATTAATAGTTACCATTATGTGTATTATTATATGATGTATAAAATAAAATAATTGTTAATTGTGTAACCACTGTTTAAATTATTTTTATTTGTGTTACCAAACATGCAGCTACATTTTTTTCAGGGGAATGCTAGGGTTGTCACTATTGATTAGAAGTAGCAAACTATTTTTAATTATTATATTGATTTAGTCTATAGTTTTAAATATAAAAAACTAGAACAATTTTAATATATAAATATTTTGAAAATTTAGACAACCTTATATAGTACTTGACAAAAGTTTTCCTGCATCTGTAATTTCTGAAAATTTATATTTAGAAACATAAAATTTCATACAGAGCATAGTATATCACATATGCAAATTGTACTAAACTTCTTCAGATACTGTATATAGTAAAAATACTCATACTTCTTATACACCAATTTTTAATTAAAAATATGACTCTTTCTTTACATAAGCAATATGAAATCGTGTTTTTAACTAGCCACTCAAAGGGCCCAAGCTCTCAATGTGTGAGACAGCAAAGAAGGTTCGCTGTAATGAAAAAAACAGTACAAGAATAAGCAAAAAGATGACAAAAAAGTAAAGATCTAAGTGACAAACCAAGGTTGGTTATCAAAGAGCCACTACACAGAGACAAGACAACTGGATTTTGAAGTTAGCAAAAGAGAATGTAGATTTCTCAGTGCCAAAAATCTACTGTAAGCTTCTAAAACAGAACGTAGATATTTACGTACGTACTATTTAATAGCACCTTGGTGAAAATAGGGCTTGTTATTACAAAAAACTTGTGAAGTTTTTGCTTGAAGAGAAGCATTAGAAAAAATAGCTCTTGTAGGTGAAGAAACATAAGTATTTTAACTAGAATTCTGTAATATTTACTGACAAAAGCATCTTCCACTTGAATTAGCAATTAAAAAAGGTATAGCAGTTCATCAGGACAAAGAAAATAATCTGTTCTGTCAAGCATCTGTTGAAGGTTCACATATAGGGGTATTTTTTTCTTTCGGCTTTGGAAAGTTGGTCTGTTTTACATATAACCTTAACATACAATATATAACTACTTTGCATGAAACAGCCTTTTTACCTTCTGCTGTAGACCTTTTTGGTAAAGATTGTGATAGTTAGATTTTACAAGAGAATAATGACCTGAAGCACTATTCGAAAATTGCAAAAGCATGGAAGAAGAAAAATAAAGTTGAAGTTCTTCTCTGGCCGTCAATGTCACTTGACCAAAACCTAATTAAGAATATCTAGAGACTTATGAAAATAAACTTGGCAAAAAAAAATTAGTAAACTTAGTGCTCTGAAAGCATAAATAACAAAAGAATGGAATTAATTACTGAAGGAATATGCAGCTAATTTGGTAGGTAGTATAAAGCGTTATGTAGAGACCCTAATTGAAGCAAAAGGCAATTATATGATATATTGATTTTTATATATTTTAATGTACTTTTAAATAAAAAAAATTTTTTCTCTATCATATCTCTGTGCCAAGTTATGGGTATGAGGAAACTTTTGTCAGGCACTGTATCTTAATAATCAGACAACAATTATAGTTTTAGCTACTAAGATTAATAAATTATCTATTGAATCTCATTACTTTTTAGCTTATATTTTTATTAAAATGAGACTAATAATTCTAATTACCAACCTCCTCTATACTTACCTCAAGATATATTTGAAGTATACCAAGAACAACTTAAAATATCCAAGAAATACCATATATTCCTGAAAATAAGCTACTCCAAAAATAAGCTACCTCTTTGTTTTGATCAAAAAACCCAAAAACTTGTTTTATCTAAAAATAAGCTATCTCACTTTTTTCGAACCAAATCAATAATAAAATCTTCAATTCTGAAAATAAGCTACCCTTTTTAAAATTCAAATTACATATATAGAAAAACAAATAAAAAATCATATCTCTAGCGCATATATATATATATGCATATATGCAATAGTAGAAATAAAAAGTAAATTTCTAGATATTCCTATAGTAAAGAATAATCAAAATTTACTTTTTTTTTTTACTTCAGCGATCCTACTTTTATTTTATATATTAGCAGTACAATACAGTAAGAATTCAGGGCCCAGAGTAATCTATGTATGGGTAAAAATATAATTTGCTTATTTTTGACTATTTTTTGCAGATCCTTTCTATTTTAAGTAAGATATATGCTTATTTTTAACCATTTTTTGTATAGATCTTTCTATTTTTTGTAATTTTTTAAAACTCTTACCCCTACATAGATTGCTCGAGGTCCTGAGAATTCAGATAGCTAATTTTACCAACTAACTATTAAGTACTTTATGCTTGTTCAAATAAAAATTCTCTTGATCTGTCTTATTATCGCAGTAGAATTCAAGCAAAGCCAAAATTTTATATTAGAGTATAACCCAGAAGCGACCTGTCTAAGTGATAATTTTCCTTCTTCTGGGATTCTCAACTTACTAAAGATATAAGTTTTAGCTATCAACAAATGGTTTCAGCAACTTTGTTAGAATCACTGCTCTACAATAGAGTACTATCAATCTGATGACACTTTCTTATAGAGA